GGGGGATGCTGCTGTGGTTTCCTGGCCTGACTCGGCGTCCTCCTCTTTCTCTCAGGTCCACTGTAACAACATGCACACTCTGGGAGCCCGTCTGCCAGGCGGGGTGGAATGCCGGTTTAAAAGGGGCCCTGCCATGGCCTGGGAGGGAGAGCCTGTGCGCCATGCCTTGGGGGGCAGCCTCGGAGACCCCAGAGCCAGAGCCGTCTCAGTGCCCCTGGGCGGCCGCATGGGCCGCTTCCTGCAGTGCCGCTTCCTCTTTGCAGGACCCTGGTTACTCTTCAGTGAGATCTCTTTCATCTCGAGTAAGCCCCCGAGTTACCTGTTGGTCTGGCTGTCAGCCCTGTGGTGTCTGTCCCCAGCATATGGATTCCTGGTATCACCCGTCACCTGTGATATTTCTCGGACTGGGGCAGAATAATCAGACCCCAGTCCTTTGTAGAGTCTTTCTTGTTTTGGTTTTTTGGTGTTTTGTAGATTCTTTTTTATCTTATTGTGTTTTTGAGACAAGGTCTCACTTTAGCCTTGGCTGGCCTGGACCTCAGAGAGAGACATGCCTGCCTCAGCTGGCTGAGTGCTGGGGTTAAAAGCATGTGCTGCCACACCCAGGTAGATTCTTTTTTTAATTAAAAAAAAAAATTTAAATTATTTTTAAAAAATATTTTATGTTTTTGAGACAGATCTTATAATGTAACCTGGACCAGCCTAAAACTCATGATCCCCCTGCCTCAGCCTCCCCAAGCATTAGGATCATAGCTGCGCAGGGTCCCTGTTGTTCCCAAATCTCTCTCTTTCCTGGATGAATCCCTCATTCCTGATCCATCCTGAGTGAGGGTGACAAGTTCTGGTTAAGCCTGAAAGACTTCTGCCTGGTTGAGAAGGGGCATCTTCTCTTAAGCCTGCAGATCCGGAGTCCTCCACTCCCCCTCAGCCCGGGGCTTCCCACACTGCCCTACCAATGGGCTTGCTCTGCACCCCGTTCCCCCCAGTTCCCTAGGTCTCATGTGTCCCGGGGTCCCCCGCTCTGACTCTCTCTTCTCTTTCCTTCTCCCCAGATGTGGTGAACGATTCCTCCGAAACCTTCCCGCCAGCCCCCTGGTGGCCGCCTGGCCCCCCTCCCACCAACGTCAGCAGCTTTGGTGAGCAGTCCTTGGGTACAGTTCCTCGGGGGCCTCCCCCTCTGGTGCGGCCGGACACCTGCTGTGGTGCTGACCATTCTCCCCTGTCAGAGCTGGAGCCCCGGGGCCAGCAGCCGGTGGCCAAGGCGGAGGGGAGCCCGACTGCCATCCTCATCGGCTGCCTGGTGGCCATCATCCTGCTGCTGCTGCTCATCATTGCGCTCATGCTCTGGAGGCTGCACTGGCGCCGCCTGCTCAGCAAGGTGGGCAGCGCGCTGTGCCTGGGCGGGCGGGCGTGGGAGCACAGTCCACGGGAGCACAGTCCCCGGGAGCACAGTCCACGGGAGCACAGTCCACGGGAGCACAGTCCACGGGAGCACAGTCC